AGAGAGAGAGAGAGAGAATATAATTCAAGCTGAGAAAATTCACTTTGCTCGGTTTTACCGATTCCAATTGGTGCGAAGATAAAGATGATAGAAAGTCTACGTCTGGATACATCCTTATGTTCGGTGAAACATCAATCTCACGGTGTTCGAAGAAGTAACTGATAATAACGCTCATGGTTGATAACTTGTTAGTGAAGGAAGATTGAGTTGAGATATTGTAGAAGTGAAGAACCTGACTCTGATATACATTGCCGCTTCGTTGTGTGCATGCCAAGTCGTGTGATTAATGAATCTATTGATGGAGCTGGACAACGATGAGGGTGACGTTATAACGCTCATGGTTGATAACTTGTTAGTGAAAGATTGTGTGCATGTCAAGTCGTATAGTTAATGAATCTATTGAAGAAGTTGAACAACGATGAGGGCGACGCTTTAACGCTCATGGTTGATAACTTGTTAGTGATCTTGAGAGAACTCGTTAGTGAATGAAGGTTGAGATTGTAACATTTTCTTTATGAGCAACACACCTTGTGAGAGACACGCCACATACTCATCTGAAATCTTAAGATGACAAGTGTGTAAGTTCTCCCACTTATAAATGTTAAAATCTCTACTTTTCTAATCAATTTAGAACTTCCTCACACCAACTCACACTTGTTATTCTCAACATATTAGAAGATACATGTCTAAAACCTTGGCACACCCTACAAAAAAGTGCGAACAAAACAAATCATGCCCGACAGCCGTGCCCGTTTTTTCACCCCTACATACACTCATATATTTTGTTCATGTATAATCGACTACAAATGCACCATATCGACTACAAATGCACCTTATGCGTGAATGTTAAAAATCAACTATATTGTATCAGCTCGTATAGAGCTTGATTTGATTTTAATTGAATTCTCCGAACTTTAATCTGACTTCAATTGAATTCCACAAGTGGACATTGAGATTGATCTTTATAATGTGTACCCTATGCTACAAATGAGTTCCATTACTGCTGTACTGCTGAGTGGTGGGATAATATAGAATGATTCCTTATGATGCACAAGAAAAGTGTAGAGGCTAGTGGCAATCACAATAACTTGAGGACTAGTAGGTCCTGGTTAAACTTAAGTCGAACGCAACTTCCCTTACAGAAAAACATACTGTCGTTATGATTTTTATAAAATATCTCACATTAGAAACGATGGGACAATCATTGCTTTTTCCTTTTGAATGTTTAAAACATAAAAAAGTACAATAAAGAAAATGGAAAAAGGACCATGACTAACTCAAAATGGAGGATCGAAGCTTTTTGGATAGTTGCTTTTCTCTTTTAAAATTCTATCAAACAGGAACAAAGTGCAACTAAACATGGGATTACATAGTGTGTGTGTGTCCATTTACTGTAACATATGCACTTTGAATGCCTAACTTAAACTTCTGATAGATTTAGCTCAATTACCAAACATTAAAAACATGTTTTATTTCAGTGAGTTCTGTTTCCCCTTTTGAACAATTGGATCCATTATGTTTTAAACTTTAAAGTACATGAAATTGGTTTGTGTTTTTTAATCACATGAAATCGTTTTTAAGAAATTAATCTCCTGCTTTCCATTAGAATGACAGATAACTAATGGAAGTAAGGTCATCACGGCCCATAATTGGACAACTCATTAGTGAATACAAAGTGGATGGCATCCAAAGTTTGTGGACAAGACACATAGGATTGGATTCGTTTGTCATGTTCTACCACATTCAAAAGAAACAAAAGAAAAGTTACCGTGGCTTTACTTTCTGATTTCTGGATGAACTTATGTAAAAACAATTAATTATATCTATTTATATTATATTTTTGTTCACGATATAATAAAGTGAGAAAATGTATTAACAAACAATGTGGACTTAAGTAGTTTTGGTAGTGGTGTTCATCTACTCTAGTAAAAAATTAATAATACTTTTAAAATTTGGAACTTAAATTTCGGGCGCTTTCAAAATGTAACATGTAACACATTTTTAACTCCACGTATATAATTTATATAATTTACGAATTAAATCAAATAAGATTTATTATTCAAGAGTGTCACACTTTATAGAAAACATCTATTTAATATTCTTGCTCCGTAATACGGGTTATATCAATTTAAAACATGTATCTATTTATAATTTATCGCATCATTTAGAAACATTACAGCGGAATTCATTGTCATAATATAATAATTAACTTCTCAAAACTCATACTTTTGTCTCCTCAATTATTAAATTAATGTAATCATCAAAACATTCATAAACTAAGTTAACATCAAAAAAATATAACATTCGCATAATATAGCGTTTCCAACCCGATGTTACATATCAGAGCAAAACACCTCTAATTAACGGAAATAAATAACATACTCTGAAACTATCCTCAAAGCTTCTACGAACTACTCCTTGTCACCTGTGTGTTACCCACGTGGAGACAACATTCAAACAGAAAGGGTTGGTAATTGTGATTCATTATAAAAGATATAAGAAAAATATTAGTAGTTATAACAACATCATCACGTAACAACACATATTATTCATCAATATTTCGTGCTCACAGATACATCATAATATCACTTATACTTCTTTCATCATCAAAACTCATATAATCACACAATTCACAATTTTTATCATATCACAATTCATCAACACAATTTATGCAATGTCACGTAAGATGGTAATGCAACACAACTAACTCAAATGCACGTGGTACCAAGTCTTTATGAACACCTGGTTCATTATCTTCCAAAAATTCTCACCATAAGATCGATTTCCTCTTGGAAGCGAAGTACATCATTAACGCATACAATCTGCACAATGGGATTGAGACTCGTCACAAGCGGATCACCGTCCAAAAATGTTATGAATGCATAATGCACAACAACGTCATATAAAACTCGACCACGGCTAGTCAAGTGCATCATCACTCACATAATCGTCAAAAAATCATCTTCATAATCATCACATAATCATCCCAGAATCATCACATAATCATCTTCATAATACTTCATAGCAACATCATATTCATCATAAAAAAAGAACTTCATAGCATAACAACATATAATAAATCAATCTCATAAGTACAAAGGTATTGAAATCATTCATCAAACAACTAATATAATTCATTCATATTATCGTTCGGCTCGTCGGCTTCCCCATACTTCGAACGACACGTTAAATGGATTCCCGAAATTCAAGTTACAGCATTTGGAAATGTCACTGCGAGACTGCTCGCCTCATGCTCGTCTGACACCCCTGGGAGTGCCTTGTTTGCTACCTCGTTGCATTAGCTCTTCTTTTCTACCTTTCTCCTCGCCACCTTGCTTTCCCGATGAAGCTTTGGCGACTGGCTCGTCTCAGGCTCGCATGGCGAGACGCGCGATTCTGCAACCTCAATTGAGTTTCGTTGTTGTCTCAACTCCATACTAGTTCCGATTACAGATATCATACTCATTCCAAAATGTGTAACAATCATCATATATCACATATTAAC